CAATATATGTGTGTACGTAAATGCTTGTGTTAGCATCAGTATTATTACGTAAAACTGAATTTTCTAGAAAGCCTCCAACGCCTATAAATATAACCAACGCGATGCGCCAAAAAAAGTAGAGTATCTATTATTCAGAAGCTATAACTGTGATTGTTATAACACTTACCAATCGGAAAACTTCAGATATTTGACGAGGAACCTTTACAAAGTTCGAACATTACAAACCATTTAATTTCAGTGAATTCACATCGGACATTAATACTTTTACGAAAACATTACCTAACGTCATCGGTGGAAAATCAATCTCTAATAGGCGTATGAACAGTGAAGGCTACAGGGCTAGTTAGCTCCCCGTTAAGTGAATTGTGCCTACGTCAACTCGAAATTAATTCGCTCATCGTGAACCCTCGATAAGATATTGTTAGTCTCCGTTCGTTAATTAATGTTCCGTAAATTCGTTCCGACGAAACTTTAGCGACACTGGTTTATTCTTTCTGAATATAACTTTGCGATACACTTAATTTCAACAGTCGCGCTATAACAAACGCTATAATTCGCAATGAACGTCTCACGTGCTCGACTCAACAATACCCAGTTCAATTACACATCACCCGCCTTCTCCCCGTCGCTCTTGGCCGGTTTTATATATACAAGACTACACTACATCTAGAAGGATCCCGAGATTTAAGGAAAGGATGTGAATGTTCGAGAACGACGTGGCGTGATACTAGTCACGTGACCTCCGCTAACGCAACAATATGAAGGAAGTTCCAGACTAGAAAGAAGACTTTATATTGCTTGTAAGTTTGTGAATCTTTTGTTATTAAATCATTGTTTGTAATAACTATTTGTAATAACTGTTATTGTAAATTGTATTGTTGTGTATATATTAAAACGTATTTGTGTTGAAAAAGAAAACCGTGTCTATCATTCTTGTTGGCAAATATCATAACTGACTATATATCGGCTTTTACTTAACTGCTAAATCCAAAGTACAATTAAACTATTAAAGTTAAAGTATCATTTAACTCGGTTACAGACCATTTAAAATTCTAATACGTAGCACTGTACAGTATTTAAGATACAACTGTGGTATACATAGTGTAAAGAATTTTTGTACATACGTTTAACTTGTTTTGAACATATTTTAAAACAAGCGGAGTATGTGCTGTTCATTTATCGTCTAATTTATCGCCTACAAGTCACAGACACCTAATGTAGAAGAATCTTTAGCCCAACACACTCATATAAATACATATGCTTATTTTAATATGTACTACTTAAAAAGTATGTTCCTAACACCCTCTGTTTAAAAGTCCGACTAGAATGTGACACAAACCAAACCACTACTATGTCTGTTGTATCCTAGCCGGAATGATGAGCTTTGTTATTGGGCGAAAGGTCTCGACGATACTGGATATAGCATGGTCGATATATTATTATTATTATATACTCTTTATTTTCACTCAAATGTTCTTGTTAATAGTTTGCTGGTTCGCCAGTTCTTCTGAATAATAAGCAGGTTAATTCACGAAAATATTAAATAATAAGAATATGGTGTTAAAATAAACAAATAATAGTGTTACAAATCCTTACCACAGTTCTGACATAATTACAATTGATCACATATTACACTTCACCAAGTTAATCCAGTTTACGCTGTAATAGTTGTTGTCAATCAAGTTGCTAATATAAATAACGCCTCAACTACTCCAGCGTCTCTTCCATCCCAGCCGGCCTGATGAGCTATGATGCCCAATGAAAGGCCACGTTGGTACTCGATACAGCAGGTGTTGTTCACACATCATTATACACGATCTTATTGTTAATTACCCTCTGTCAACGTGTGTTTAGACAATATAACTGACACGGTATATTATAACATGGGTTTTCCACCGTCCGTCCGACAACTTGTTAATTACCATGGCGTCTCTTAGAAACCCTCTGTAAACGTGTGTTTAGACAATATAACTGACACGTTATATTATAACATGGGTTTTCCACTGACCGTCCGACAACTTGTTAATTACCATGGCGTCTCTTAGAAACCCTCTGTCAACGTGTGTTTAGACAATATAACTGACACGGTATATTATAACATGGGTTTTCCACTGACCGTCTGACAACTTGTTAATTACCATGGCGTCTCTTAGAAGCCCTCTGTCAACGTGTATTTAGACAATGCAATTGACACGTTTTATT